TCATTCTCCTTTACTCCAGGTGGGTTTGAACCAATTGATGCATCTTAGATGGCTGTTTGCTAGCTTTTAAGACCCCAGACACCACTCACCAAAGTAGGATGCAGAACATTTTCTTACTAAATTTGTTATGCCAGTTGACCTAGATGTCCCCTGAAACCATGGTCCCCAGACCCCCGCCTCTGCTACTCTGTTCCTCAAAGTGTTTGGCTGTATTCAGGAAACTTCTTAGCTTTGGTTTAGTCCAGCTGTGCTCACTTTTCTTGTAGCGTGTGCTCTCCTTCCCCTCAGCTAAGATAGTTCTTGTCTACTATCTAGTTAGTGAATAACCCTTTCCCTCCAACCCCACCCTTGTAACCATCAAAGAATGTTTTCTTCTGTGTTGAAACCCTTTCTTGAGTTCTTATAATAGTGGTCTTATACAATATTTGTCCTTTTGTGGCTAAGTTCACTCAGCATAATGCCTTCCAGATTCCTCCATGTTATGTTTCACGGCTTCATCGTTGTTCTTTATCATTGTGTAGTATTCCATTGTGTGAATATACCATAATTTATTTATCCATTCATCTGCTGATGGGCATCTAGGTTGTTTCCATCTTTTTGCTATCATGAACAGTGCTGCAATGAACAGGGGTGTGCATATATCTATTCGTGTGACGGCTCTTATTTCTCTAGGATATATTCCAAGGAGCAGGATTCCTGGATTGTATGGTACTTCTACTTCTAGCTTTTTAAGGAAGTGCCAAATCGATTTCCAAAGTGGTTGTACCACTTTACATTCCCACCAACAGTGTATAAGTGTTCCAGTCTCTCCACAACTTCTCCAACATTTATTATTTTGTGTCTTTTGGATTCATGCTAGCCTTGCTGGGGTGAGATGGTATCTCACTGTAGTTTTGATTTGCATGTCTCTAATGGCTAATGATCATGAGCATTTCCTCATGTGTTTGTTAGCTGCCTGAATGTCTTCTTTGGTGAAGTGCTTGTTCATATCTTTTGCCCATTTTTTAACTGGGTTATTGTCTTTTTGCTGGTGAGACTTTTCAGTATCTTGTAGATTTTAGAGATTAGACGCTGATCGGATTTGTCGTAGCCAAAAATTTTTTCCCAGTCTGTAGGTTGTCTTTATACTCTTTTGGTGAAGTCTTTTGATGAGCATAAGTGTTTGACTTTTAAGAGCTCCCAGTTATCTAGTTTCTCTTTTGGTGTTTGTGCATTGTTACTTATGGTTCATATTCTGTTCATGCCATGTATTGGGGCTCCTAGCGTTGTCCCTATTTTTTCTTCCATGATCTTTCTTGTCTTCGATTTTATATCTAGGTCTTTGATCCATTTTGAGTTACTTTTTGTGCATGGTGTGAGGTATGGGTCTTGTTTCAGTTTTCTGCAGATGGATATCCAGTTATGCCAGCACCATTTGTTAAAGAGACTGTCTTTTCCCCAATTAATGGATTTTGGGACTTTGTCAAATATCAGCTGCTCATAGGTGGATGACTTTATGTCTGGATTCTCAATTTTGTTCCATTGGTCTATATATCTGTTGTTGTACCAGTACCAGGCTGTTTTGACTACCGTGGCGGTATAATAGGTTCTAAAATCACGTAGCGTGAGGCCTCCCACTTTGTTCTTCTTCTTGAGTAATGCTTTACTTATCCGGGGCCTCTTGCTTTTCCATATGAAGTTGGTGATTTATTTCTCCATCTCATTAAAAAATACTGTTGGAATTTGGATCGGAATTGCATTGTATCTGTAGATCATTTTGGGTAGAATTGACATTTTCACAATGTTGAGTTTTCCTATCCACGAGCACGGTATGTTTTTCCACTTATGCAGTTATGCAGGTCTCTTTTGGTTTCTTGCAGTAGTGTCTTGTAGTTTTCATTGTATAGGTCTTTTACATCTCTGGTTAGATTTATTCCTAAG